ACTTTTCTTTTTTAAGTAGTTTTCTTTCAAGTGCACCTTATACTCACATTTCAAAACAAACAACAAGACAATATTGGAAATGTTGCAGCGGTCTTTCACCATTTTCAGTTGATTGTTCGCGATATTCGCGAAGGTTCGCGCTCCCCGTTCTCCCCGACGGGGAGCGAAACTGGACGAAGGGGTCCTCGAGAAAAGGTCGGGAAGCAGATCGCCCGGGGGGAGGGTCCCGCGAAAAAGTCAGGGATCAGATTGCGCGCGAGGGGAGCGCTCCCCGCGTTCCTCGCCGAGGACCCCGACAAGGAGCCCGTTCCCCGACGAACACTAGTAGTGACTGTTGCAAAGTTAATGTCTTTCATTACCATAGCAACGAAATGTTTCTAGTTATTTCCGTATCATGAGAAGAAAATGGCAATCCTCTTCCATTGTGACAGAGCTTTCTATGTAAACTGTAACTTAGCTTAAAACTTCAGTGATAAACACAGACGCATTCTGCAATGTGGGAAAGAAGAAATTTACGTTCTTGTCATTTCAAAATGCTATTTACTTTTCTTGCCAAAGACCACGCATCGTTTTGTTTCTTCGTTTGGTAAAATACGATATTAGTATCAAAATCGCATTATGTCTTTTCAGTTACCCTTTTTTATCTTATACATTCTTTCATTTCGATGCTTTTCCAACCTATACTCTTGTCTTCAAGATTTTAATGACTTCAGTTTGAACGTTACATTTCGGGGAAAATTAGAAGATCGAGAACGACGACGAAGTCACATTTTTCGAAGCCCTTGTCTCTTCGGGGTTGCCCATCTGCAAATTTCTCCTCCGACTTTCCCTGTCCCAAACTTTTTGTATTTCCCCGCAATACATTAGTCTAATGAATGGACCACATCCTTGAATGTCAGCAACGTTTTGCAATTTTTCGCATGGATTTTATCGATGATCTTAATATTGATATATGCATTCTAAAAGCATGAGAAACTGTGTTAGAATCACTTTTCATTTGGTATGTCTGTGCATTCGGCATGGAAAATGCATCTTTGAGACGGGTAAACGTATGCAAATAGCTGAACTTTATTACTGGTTCACCTATGGGCAGATTATGGTACAACGGAATAAGTGTCGACCAAAACGAGAGTATTTCAGCGTTTTGGAGAGAATAAGAAACTTTCACAATCACTTTTCTTCTACTTCATACAGGAACATGATGCTGGAGTAGTCATCAGAATAAGGTTGCTTAAAAAGAAACACTTCAAATATTCAGATATAAACAGAATCGCTGGACACTTATATATTTTTATGTAGCTAGAGAATCTGAAGATTGTGAACAATAAATAAGTTTTACAGATAATCAGATGTGTGTTAGAAGCAGCCGAAATTCCAACTGTTCCCAATCCGAAATTTAAGAATCTCTATTTCGAGTTTCCGAAATGAAATCCGCAATGTGGACAATTTCTGCGTTCGAAATCGAAGTTCCGAGGATGAAAATCGAAATTATGCTAGAGAAGTGCAAGATCAGTTCCTGATTTGTTTTTCAGCGTTCCGTATTCACTGAACTTTTACATTGAAGATCATGAAATTACTTTAATTATGGACTGATTAACGTATATGGAATGCATAGAAATGAGCTGTACAATGCAATCTTTCCAACAGTGAGGTGTCTTCCGGCATTAAGATGTTCATCTGAACCTAAACATATTTGCCGGAAAACATGCGTACTTTTCTGAAACTAGAGTCTCAAAACTCTATAATTGCAAAGAAAACTGCATTATTAAAACGGCATTATCTGTTCTATGGTTTTGTCGTTGCGGTGCTTTCTGTTCTGTCCTACAGACTGCTTTATTTCAATGAATTTACAACAGATATTCCACTTTTCAAGCGTTTTCTAACTCAAGCTCAAACGTTTCATTTTCGTGGAAAATTCAAGAATCAGGAACAGGAATGCGATTGAGTTTTTTACCCGAAGTTCCTTGTTCCCCGTCCCCGACTTCAAAGATTTATAACTGCAGACTCCGTTCTTGACTTTTTTTGTTCATCTTCGAAAATACACTATCTTGATTTGCTCTCACATTAATCGACAAAACTGACACGATTCCATATGTTTCTCGTTTCAGTGGCATGTTTCCTTTGAAAACGCAACAAAAATTTGGCGACAATTGTTTACTTTGGTGAGTTGGTGTACCAGAAGCCAAAATGCACATTCGTACGCGCGCGCGTCCGAATGTTGAAAGGTGGCAGAACGAGAGGAAAACGCTTTCGAGGTGTGCATAAAATGAATAGAATGAATGTAGCCGTGAAAGCTAACAAGGTGAAATTGTCATAGCTCAACATTCGCGACTGATTCCAAATTCAATTCTCTACAAACTGTGAACGTTTCAAGAAAATTCATCATGTAGTTTTCGAAATTGTGACATAAAATGAATCTTCATTATGAGAAATAATGCGTTAGCAGGCGATTGAAGTGGAAAAAGTAACCGAACAGAAATTCCGTCGGCCAATACCCTGTAAGACATTGGAAAGAAAATTTCTCTACAAATCAGAAAATTTTCAGCAAAATTAAACGTTTAGTTTTCGAAATTTTAACTTAAAATGAATCCTCAATATGTAAAATATTGCTCTAGTGAGCGACTGAAATGAAAACAGTGTCGGAACAGAAATTCCATCGGCCAATGCCAAATAGTCTATTGGAAAGAGAATTAAGTTCTTAACAAACCAGCAAACTTTCAGCAGAACTGAAAGTTTAGTTTTCGAAATTCTTACCACTCCTTTTCTGCTCGTTCAATAACTTCATCACTCTTTTTATACACTTGCCTTTTCCCATCGGAAATTGTAAGGAACTGTTCCAGTAACACCTGAAGAACAACATTTTTCACTTCATATTTATACAGTAACGTGTCATTCAGCGAACTGATTGGAAACAGATGGATTAACACCAGCAGATAACATGAAATAGGATCTGTTATGATGGTAAACATAACAGAACAGAATCTACTGGGTTAAATTTTATTCACCCATGCTGGATAGATTGTTTCTCTATCCACTGGAAATGAGTCTCCAGTCATTTATTGACATTAATTGGAGGGATGACAACCGCATCAACAACAGAAACTGAGTGAGAGGTACTGGCCTCAAGCAACAGAAAGAGATTTACGACCACAACAGACAGAAGTGGTAGTGCTTATATCGCTGTGCAGCATTTGAATATTTGAATGAGAGAGAGGTTATGTGAATGTGGCTATGACAAGATACAAATTGTTTTAGGAATACTGAAAAATGTGTGGTGGATCAGTGAGCTGCATTGGATTTCACATGAGACTGTCCGATGATGTCAGTCTCGTCGGTCGATGTGGCGACTCACTTCCTCCTTATGGTTGTCTGTATTGGTTTTACGTTGAGTGCGGCTTTTTCTGAACACATCCATAGTAAGATGAACAGTGTTTTGACAGTATTCTAAATTACCATGGTGCACCATCAAAACAGAATGTAGCGAATGTGATGATGGTATCATGCATGAAAAATTCATTTGCATTATTGCATGAAAAAATGCATTATTATATTTAAACTACATGTTAACAAATAATACCTCGTTCAAAGCTTGCCTTCATGCGCATAGCAAATCAGTTGCTCGAAACTATTCTGAATGGGCAATGGTGACACTCACTTGTAATCGAACGGGTTTGCATGGAACCTCAGTATTTCCAGTTAATCGAAATCAGTTACGTTTTACATTAATTACAATCAGTTCACTGCAAACACGAACCTTCATTCTGAATATCTCCGCCGGTAACATCGTTGCAGTCATCCTTGGTAGTGTAATCATGATAGCCACAGCCATCACCAACGTCATCTACCATGATTTTCCGGACACCCAGAACATATTCTTTCTCACACCACGATTCTATCCAGGAAGACCATGATGAGCATTACCGCACACTTCTTCTTCCACGTTGCTACGGTACATCGTTACAATTGTTCGCAAGCGCAATATTTCTCACAATGAGGATTCATGTCCAGTTACAATTTCGAAAACAAAACGTTTATTTTTGCTAAAAATTTGCTGGTTTGTAGCGAATTGAATTCTCTTTCCAACAAACTATTTGGCATTGGCTGATTCCTGTTCCGGCACGTTTTCCATTTCAATCGCTCGCAAAAGCAATATTTTGCATACTGAGGCTTCATTTTAGGTTACAATTTCGAAAACTAAACGTTTAATTTTTCTGTAAATTTGCTGGTTTGTAGAGAATTGAATTTTCTTCCCAGATTTACCTCATGCATACGTTCAGATCAAGTGTAGCATTGAAATACGTCAAGTTCCTGTGCCCCATCGATGAATTAATTTGCCTTCATTTATTCGGGCCGTTATCGATCAGAATCGACTAAACTATTACCGATGCTTGAAAGTGTAAATTCATGATGTTAATGACGCGCATTTCTCTGTTTGTTGCGAAGTGAGAACACAAACACGTCGACATCTCTAGGGGCACATGGCGGACACGGTGAACAGGCGATTTTATGCAGACCTGATACACACGCATGATCCGCTCTTGCGAAATTTCGCTGTTGGCAATCTCAGTCAACTGTTACGATTTCTCACTCGGGGTCGCTTCGTCGGCTATTTTCCATCGTTTTTACTTTATGTTAATCCAAACAAGGTCTCAATAATCTTATAGTTAACGTTACACTGAAATTTAGGCTGAAGATTGATAAAACATCAGTTGCTTAGTCTCAATAACCTTATAATTAACGTTACAGTGAAATTCAGCCTGAAGATTGATAAAACATCAGTTGCTTAGTACTGTTTGTCCTTATCTGTAGCGTATTACGTTACCGAGTGTGCCGTGTTCTTGTTCCCTAGGCTTTATCCGCCGCGATGTTGGTTGTCACGTGTAACTTTAGCGCTTCAAACCACAAGATGCCTTGTTTACTTCTCTGATTGGTTTTCCATAACCACGTTTATTGTGCGATTACTTGAATTCTAATGCTTCCATTATCGTAGAAGAGAGAAGATGGGAGCGGATGGAGGAACGATTCCAAAACGATGTGAGTTGGTGAAAAACAAGAAGAAGAAAGAAAAAGTGGACAAAAACGTAAAAAACGCACCCCGCTGGCAGTTGTGCCACTTAACACAGCAACCGTTACAAAAACCGATTGTAGCATGTCGTCTTGGAGGGTGGGTGTATCGATTATGTTTCATTATTCTGATACTACTAATGCTGTCTGTAATTTGAAAAATATCAATCGTCAAATAAAATGTGGCATTAGTTTTTCAGTGGAACAGTCGATGAGAAATGGGAAAATTTATCGTAATGTTCTTTCAGACTTTACAATAAAGAAGCTATTTTAAATGCAATATTGTTAAAAACAATTCGTGATAATGCGGCAACGAAACATATTCATGGTCTCAAAGACGTTAAGGAATTGAAACTTTATGACAATAAGGAATACCAAAAACCAGGTGCTGACAAAGGCGACACATTCAAAGATTACAATATTGCACCATATTGCTGCCCAGTGAGTGGACTAGCAATGAACGGAAATCATGTGTACGTTGTTTTTCTTTTATTGTTTCCATGCTGATCACTGAATTTGATGTGAAAGATCGTGATATAGTTAATGCTGCAGGTGATCCTTGGGGTGGATTTGGCCTCAGCTATCCGAGATCTTTTACCTGGATCTTTAACCGAATTTGTCCGCAGGAAGCTTATCCTCACTTTGCACAACATTATACTCCATTTCTACTCCATTCAGTCATAATCTCCATTTATCATCCTTAATGATGTAAATAGTTTTTCTTTGATAATTTGTATTTACAGGTTTACGGTAAATTGGCAGTGCGGTTGCGTTATATCTCAGAAGGCAATAGAAGAAGTCAAGTCGGACACATGTCATGGTTGTGGTGGTGCTTTCAATAAAAACGATCTGATTGTTTTGAATCCGTCTGATGAACTTCGGCGAACATACGAAACAAAATTAGAAGAAGAACGAAAGAAGAACAGAAAGAAGAGTGAGTTATTCTTTGCCTTTATGTGCTGTCCTTTCTTTGCTCTTATTTTCTCAGAATTAATTATTGCAATCATCAAATGCCAAGTGTATTTGTTGAATGGCCCATATCAATGTTGGTTTGTTTCAAAAGTGGGTCCCCGCGGGGAGGAAACTGGACGAGGGGGTCTCCATAGAAAAGTCGGGGAGTAAATTGTGCGAGGGGAGCGCTCCCTGCGTTCCTCGTCGGGTTCTCCGACAGGGACCCCGTTCCCCTACGAACAGTAGCCACGAGTATTTCGTTAGTTCTTCAATATATTGGCTGACGCCGTATCTCATGAGCAGTAGGAATTGATTTTGCATTTTTAGGGGCAGTTAATTCATAGCATTTTCGAAACGCATTGATTCCGTTAAACTCAAAACGGCTCGGTTAATGGTGTCTTCATGGGTTTTCTATCAGTTCATTTCTTGATGCTTTGCTTTTTGTTTTTTTTTCACACATAAATTCACATTAAAACAGTGGTTGACAACTGGTGAACTTATTCTCCGAAGTTAATTGTATCACATTTCATTCATTCGGGCACATACCTCTGGTGATCATCTTGTTTTTCAGAAGAGAGCAGTAATTTCAATGCAGCATCTTCCAGCTCCAATGCGACCAAGAACCAGAAAATACAAAATGCAGGATCACATCTATCCAGTAATGGAAAGGATAAAAAGCGTAAGATGGAGGACTCATCAATCCAAAATGATGAAAAAGCATCTACAGTCTACAAATCATTATTTACTACCTGCGAAGAAGCCAAAAGGCGTCCGAAACCACATTGGATAACTTATAATCCGTTGTTTTATTAATAC